TGAGTCCTGGGGAAGAACCCCATACTGCTCCTGAAAGATAAAGAAGTTGGCTAGTCTTTTGCCATTTTGTTTTCAGCCCTCTCCTCTTTATAGGCGTTATTTGTAGAATTTATAGTTTTCTCATTGTGTGAGGACTTCCTGGTGCTGTACAAAAATCGTTCCCGTTTCTTCACATTTTGTTTCAGAGTACTTAGCCTTACTTTTTATCTGGCCTTGCTGAACAGTTTGTTTTGAATGTCTTTTGGAGCTTTTTTGTGTCTGTTGAAGGACTGAGCGATATGCCTTAAAGTCAGTATAACAATACATTGAGCAGTTAACTTAAAAATAAAAAAAAGGACAATAACTTCACCCAACTCGACCCCTACTCAAATAATAAGAAATGTGATAAACTACTTCCCAGCATGTCATATGCGACAAAGAGTTCAGACTCCAATAGACTGTTTTTTGCAATTATTTTTGTTGTCGCTTTAGTAGAGTTTAAATCTACAATGTCACAAATAAATGAAGAAAATTTTTACTTTTTGTTGAACTAAACTAGTTTATATGAAGTAACTTGGCAAACAAAAAATGACGCATTTGGGGAAATGAACTGGTCCTCTTTCTTGACGATTGATGGTTGAGAAGGTGTTAAGCACTATCAATCACCCTCGCTTACATGCTGCCCACACTCTTCCCCTGGTTCTTTGCTAGCATACAGCTAGTTCTCCACACTGGAACCTGCCATGAATTCTCAGGTTAGTTAGCATAGCCACAGATGGTGATGGGTGGACAGCTTTCCTGTAACAATAAGTTGTTTCTCTGCAATTAGCACATTGAGCAGCGAGTACACTTGTATGATTGACAGTGTTAAGACTCTTCTTATGACTCTGATTGGTTGTTTCTCAATGTGAAACAGATGACATCCTCACAGGGAGGAGGCAGAACAGCTATTTTTTTTCCACAGACGATCTGTCTCGTTATACTGTCACAACATGGTGAAAGTTTTAAGAAATATTTTTAAAAACATATTTTTATAAACTTTACATACGTCCTTGAAGTAAAATAGCTTATTTAGTTTTTTGTTTGGGTTATATTATTCACTGTAATTTGCTCATTTAAAGAGGTCCTTCGTTTTATGGCTAGATTACCACAGCACACTCAACCAGCTGCTACCTCTGAAGGTTTCTGATTGTGAGAACAGAACACAAAACTCAAATTTAGTGTGAGGTTATACACAACTGAGTTAATGCTTTGTTCCATCATTTTCTACAGTTTATATTGCATGTACTTTTGCTAAAACTGCGTGAAAGTAAAAAAAAGAATCTGCCATAATGAATCCACAGTTCTTTTTACATGGTGCACCAACTCAGTGGAAACACAGGTAGTCACATAAAGAAGTCGCATAAGGGAGAGGCTGCCTGGGCATCACATGGCTCTTATTAGTGGCACTGTTGTCTTTAAGCTGATTCTGTTTTGTGGCTGTTCTGAGTGTTAGCAGGAGTACTATAAGTTTATTCATTTCCTATCTAGTGACATTCTTAAATTGCTAGTTCATAAGAGTTATGTCAACATAGGCATTACTGTACAAAATGACTCTATCCATCAGTGATATAATTAATGAATGAACAAAGAAAAGGGAAATTGAATGAAAGCACAAAATTGGCCCGGATACAGTATTGATCTCTTCAGCAGGACCCAACATCTCCCTTTGAGTTTCCAAAGTCTTCCCTAGCTAAAAAGGAAATATAATTTCCCCTTCAAGTTCTGGCCCTGTCTTAAGTCTTTTTTCTACTTGGAGATAACCTTCCAAAAATAGATGACCAAAGAATTCTTGGTTAAACACCTAAAAAATCCCAGCAACACGGTTTAGTTAGGAATGGAGAAGAAAAGTTCAAACCATTAATAAAAATGAGAAAGAACAGGGATTTAAATTTATTTTCAACTAGAGCTGTACAATATATTGCAAAGTGGGAATGTGTGATATGGCATAAAATTCATATCATGATATCTTTCATACGGTGGCAGTAACAACATATATCACTATGTTTTTGGCATAAAATATACAATAGAAACAAAAAAATACTATTTGAGTGGAATGTATATATTTGTGTTAACTTTTTTTAGATATAGTGGATGGATAGTTATTGTGAGTGTTATTTGTGTGTAACTGTTTTGTGTTATGCTGGTATTTATTATTGTCAGGTCGACCTTACAAAATCTAATTTTAAGCGAGACCCAGCGATGAAAGGCAGCAGCATAACCTCATGGTGACTACCTAGTTAAATCAAAGTTAAATAAATACATGAAAAAACATCTTTCTATAGAAACACTAACTTTAACGTAAAGGATGTCTGTAATGGACAGCTGATGTGTTTGTGACACCAAGAGCACTACAAATATAAATTCTCAGAAAATATTTTCTAGAGTTTATATTTTTCAAATGGTTTGACAAAAAGCTACCTACAAAATGAATGAGGTTTTGGAATGAAATTAGTAGTAGTATTATCTATATTCAGAGATCTACAAACATTAACATGAAAACATGCTGTAATTATAGAAGCAGCATTTTTGCATCGATGTTTAAATAAACAAACAACCCTAGATTAGGTCTATTATACTACGTATAATAGACTTGTGTGACCATAAATCATTTCTCCCAGAATGTCACACTGACTTAGGTCTACAGCATGTACTATACAAAAAAAAATTAATTAAATCTATCAAACTGTTTTTTAATAGCATCTGATTGGCAAGCCGTCTTGGGACAGTTGGCAAATGGGCGGGCAGCGGAGGAGTTTAGAGGTGCTAAAGTTCAGGCAGGAGCGACGCAGCACCCTGTGTCCTGCCAACAGCCCTACAGTGGCGCAAATCCTGACTAAGTTGTTGACCCGTGGCCCCCACCTGCCTTGACCATGTATTATAAGGAGGGAGGGGGGCATCACTTTCCTTCCTAAGCTGCCTTCCACACCAGAAGGCTTTTGACTCATGCCCATCTGTCTTGGTAGTACATACATTAAGTGAAAGCCAAGATACTGGCAACCTGTCCAATTCATGAGTGCCTTGTTATGTGAAGTGTGAACACGATCTCAGCAACCATTCAGTAGGGAGAAAAATTATCAGTTATGAGGTCAATCCACACGGTTCACTTCAAGTTGCAATAACACGTGAGGAACAATTATGACGTAAATATTTAGGGAATTATTTTTAAGCTTAATTATTGTTATTTCCTCACTCAATTAAACAAAATACCAATACAGTAAACAATAAAGTTTTCAATAATTGGCAATCACACGTTCTTACACATGAGAAGAGCAGAATTAAAAGGCCTGAGAAACACTCAACATTGTGAGTTTGAAGCCCTTTGCCATTATTAGATTAAGTAGACGGCTGAAATTCAGATGTGTTCCAATCACTTGCAAATCACTTGCAGTGTGGATGGACAGTCTAGATTCAGTTTAGTCATAGATCACACATTTGCCTACAGACTGAGCACATTCTGGGTCATTTTTAGCATGACAATACATCAGTGGGTGAAATATTGTATTAGAAATGATGGTAACAAATTTAAAAATATATATTTATTACTTAAATTAAAAAAAAAAACTTTTCTGAAATAATTTCAGTTTCAAACATGTTTTTAAAGAAACGTTTTCTTCAGACAGGCATTTACCCCAAAACACTCAACTGCCCCTTCCTCCCCAGGAGTGCTACTGACTGTTTTCGCAGGTTCTTTAACAAGGTAAGAGACATGTTCTCAAAATCTCTCAGCTTATCTTTTAAGATGAATCTGACTCTCCACAAAAGGAGAGTGTCTGTCAGATCTGCTCGCCAATGTTTGATGGAAAGCACCTCTTCTTTTCCCAGTAAAGGATTCATTTTTTCGCAATTATAACACCACAGGCTAGAAGGCGCCGTTGTGCTACATTGAGTTCCATTAACTTATCAGATATTCCCAGAGTGATCAGAATTAGATTTGTCACCACCTGAACGTCCAGTATCATGAAAAGGAAAGAGAATATATCACATGAGAACTCTTGAAGTTCAGGACAACTGCATAGCTGATAAGAGTATTCTCAATGGATTCGCACTTCTCACACAAGGGTGAGGCTTCTGGGAACATGCTATGCATCATAATCTTTGAATAGTGTAACCTGTATAAAAACCTAAATTGTATAAAGCGGTGCCGGGCATCAATAGAACACTCATGAATATATTCTAGGCTTTTTTGCACACACCAAGCTCCTTTTCCCTATTGTCCTTTATATTGGCAATTTTGGTAAGGCTTAGATATTGTAATGTCTCGTTAAGTTGGGAGACAATGAAATTGGTACAACCCTCTCAAAGTTGAGAAGGTGTTTTCGCAAAGTTCCTAATCTGCAGATACTTACAGAAATCAGGGGTGCACCAATTTATCAGCCAGTAAATTTCCATAATATTGTGATATCAGAAATATTTGCCAATATTTGCAGGTAAAGCCAACCTTATCTACCTAAAAAAAGACTTAAAAATCAACCCCTGACTTCTTCTGCTTTACCGTGACAGCTTTGACTAGTAGACCAGCCCACCAGGTCATAACTGCAGGTTTTCAATTAATAATACTCACCACTGTTGCTAACTCAGAAACTTTCTTGCTATATTTAGCAAGATTTGTTTCAGACAAAAAAATTGTATTGGTCAAAATTGGAATCAGCAGTTCAGGCTATTTAAAGATCAGTAATCGGTGATTGGACAGAAAACTGCAATCGGTGCACCGTGGACAGAAGAGGGTAAATTACATTTCAGTTTGCGTTATTTGAATTATTTTAAGAAAAGCTTATATTGTGATAAATTTGTCTGTCATTTTGCACAGTTCTATCTTTTATTGTCAACAAAATCTCCAAGGAATTTTTTATGACATCTTGCTAAATGCAATAAAAAAAAAAATATTTAAAGGCAAAAGAAGTTCAAAGTGGTACTAATAAAGTGATCCATGTATGAAAGACACAAAGACACTTTAACGGATAATGAAGGTGTGAACGTACCTGAGCTGGCTGGACATCTAAGTAATGAAGCACTTCTTTAAGCATGACAGGCATGTGAGGAGGCTTTTCAGCAGAAACACAAGAGAGTCCATCAGACCTATCCCGAAAACCAGGGCCAGAAGACAAACCAGCGGTGGCAGAATGCAGCCTCAACATTAATGACCTCCATGCTCTGCGTGCTGCCGGGTTTGTTTTCCATATCATTATATTGCCGATAAAAAGCATGTTCTTGTAATGACCTGTGGAGAAACAACAGCAAGTTATGCTAATTTAATGTACTATTCCAGGTTTGTGGCTATGAAAAATAAATAGTAGTTTAGTCTGACACGGGTGTTTTATTGTCCCTATTGCCATTCATTCTGCAACTTTCTCCAAATCTGCTGCTAACAAAGCAATGTGATGTCTCACACCTCATTGCTGCAATGTTGAATTTGCTGACAACAATTTGCCTTGCTTTGCAACTTGACAGGAACATAATTACTGTTATATTCTGACTTATATCCCACTGCGCTATGTATTATGGAGAAAAACTGTAAATGTTAAACACTTTTTGTTGGCTCAATTTTGGTATTTTTAGAAATACTTTCCACCACGATATACTGTAAGTCATAAAAACAGAAACTTGTATGTCACCAATAAGGTCTCTATAGTCCATCAAAACTAATTGATGGACTATAGAAAAGATTAAGCATGAAATGACGATAGAAAGACAAAAATGAGCAAGTTAACTCTCTGCTGCCCAATAACCCAACGAGAAGTGATGATGAGAAACAACAGAGAGGTTTTCTTAAAATGTGTGTATGGCAATGGATGGAGGAAATCACACTAAGTCAGTGACAACCTGTCACCGCTATTTAATGGTATTACACCAGTAGAAGATTAATATTATACATGTGCTTTACTGTAATAAACACCTAAAGATTCCCTGATTGCACAGCCTCACCGGTGTGTTACAGGTATTATTAGTCCATAACTGATGTGAAACTAGCCTGATAAACACCAGCCCCTTGGTGTTTGCTTCGCACAGAATGTCTGGACCCTCAGCTTTAAGAAAAGGAGCTGCTCTAAAACAGCACAGAAAATCAACGTCATCATTCACAACTTGTCTGTGAGCTGGTTGAAATTCAATTTGCGACATCAAGCTCAATGAGAAAAATCCCAGACAGAGCACCAAAGGGAGATGAGAATTTAGCAGAGCTGCATAAGTCCTCTCAAAACAAGTAAATTCACAAAAAGACAGAATATAAAATATCTAAATATAGAACAAGTAAAAATACTATATAGAAAGGGCAACATTTCAACATAAACACTGAATAGTGATTAAAAAATTGTGCACTACACACATTGAGGACTACTCTACGTATCATTTACTTTATTCATTTTTTTTATTTATTTGATCATGCATTGTCACGTTTAAAATATTAAAAAGATAAAGTACAAAATCATATGGGGGGCACCACAGCCCATTTGTGCTCAGGGCATCCATAAGGCTAGCAATGGCACTGTAGATCCTGCTGCTTAGTTAGCTTTAGCCTCTCCGCTAAATGTGTCTGGCTCACATTCGCAACAAGACTGCAATGACCGACATGAAGACTAATACGGGGTGAAAGTGTAACCTGTGCAACCAAGCAAGCTGGCACTTTGAAGGAAAATATCATAGGGACAGGTAAAAAGAGGTTTCCATGTCCGCCTGGCACCAATCAATGGAGTAAAAATTGAAGTCGTGACAGTATATTAATACTCCTTACACGTTCACTGTACACTCTGTCCACTACTAAACAAACGGTAAACAGTATTTTACAGCACAGCATGTGAAACAGCTCGACTGTCACGCTGAAACGTGCCTCCAGATGAGAGAAGCTAAACTGCAGCTTACCGTAGTGGATCAAGCAGAAGCTCCACCCCCAGCAGCCTCAGCGTGACGTGCTCGTCACTGCTGGACCGCGCAGCGTCTTCACCCTGACAGCCAATCCTCGGCCACACAGGAAGAGAGCTCCTGTTTGAAAAATATTGGCGCTTGCTGCGCTAGCTGTCTCCAGCAACGCGTTGCTAACCACTTATATTTTCATGTGACAGCGACTTACTTTGATGAGATACAAAATTAAAAACATCTGTGGCATGACAGACAGCAATCGTTTATAACAGGTAAGGAAAAAAGAAATCCCCACGGAGAGTTTTCTGTGTGATGGCGACAACAAAGCTAACGTATTGTTAGAAAATACACGACGTTATCTGGCTTGTTAGCAGGTGTTTGTCAGCTGTGCTAAGAGACATTTATGCTTCTGTATTTAGATATGTAGATATTTAATGAATGCATTGGTACAGTATTGGTAATGGAAAAGCAGAACTTTTGTGTATCTTAATATCTGTAAAGTAACAAATGAATATATTTTACCGTTAGGAAGCTGTTATTATCTCGATATATTAATGTATTTCTGAAGTTACCGCAGCACGTTTATACCAACAGTCCCTAGTTTTCTTTGTTAATAATAAATTAATGACTATATGTGTATGTAGGCTAGAATTTGCACAATTATTCATATAACTTTTTTTTTTCCCTCAACCCAAATTCTTGAACATATAAAGGGGAAAAGGTATGTTGGGGGTTCTTTAAAGTAGTGGGTTTGTATCAGATGCTCATGAACTTCACGCATATTACGCTAAACTTTCCCTGATTTTTAATGAACAAAAATACTTTCAGTTAATGCTTTTATCTACTGAAAATGCAGGCAGTAGATAAGAGCTTCTGCCAGTTCTTGATTTTTTTTTTTTTTTTAGTATTTAATGAATGGAGCCTGAGCGTAAAAAAGTTTCAGCATTTGACCTGCAGATCACAAATCAAAGCTGATTTAAATCGCTGGCCAATGATTTGTGGATTTCTAACTTAGACTATTATTTAATCAGGAGGTTAAATTCTACAGGGTGAAACTCTCTTTTATAGAAAAAATGTGAAAATGGATTATCAAAAATGGTCATACTCAAAACACTTACAGCTTAAGTAAGCCAAGGATGACAAAAATGGCCACAAATACTGCAATCTGAAAAGATGGTTGGTATACTTTCAAATGAGTCAACATAAACAGTAAGAGCACCAACCAATGGCTGATTAATGACTATGCTGTTATTCAAAGGCTTATTTTTATTTTTGTTGTCTTGGTGTGACCTCATCTAAACATACCACAACTTGTTGAAGAATGGGTTTAGCCTGTACCTGGAAGGTTCAGTTTACAATATGTAATGCAAATCAATGTATTTATGCTGAGCTGTGAAATATATCTGACTTAAACGCAACATTTTTATCTTATTATGCTTTGCATTATCGAACGTAAAGAGATCAAATAAAGATGTCGGAGTAAAATTACATGCTCCCCTTTTTTTTGACAAAATCATTTTGAAAAAAAAAAATAGAGGTGACAATGTGTGTTAAAATTTCAAGCTCTATGTGTCCACATGTTGCATTCACTAAGCTACTATAAGGGTTTTATCAAGTTTTGTTTACAATTTTCTAAAAATATTTGTTAGCCTTGGTGGATTATCTTTGAATCATAATAAATCCAACTCTTTCCACAATAAACTAATAAATCAGTGCGGCTGCATTTATTACTCTGATTTAAGACCCATATACAGGTTGATACAGCTGACACAACCATAAATTTTTTTATTGGAAGGTTTTCATTGTCTCTGCTTGTGTCTTTGTTACAAGTTGGAGACTTATGTTGTTTAAGGAGCTTTGCAGTTAAAACCTTTACTTTGTTTTTAATGTTGCCAACTCAAGGTAACAGTTCAATGATAAGAAATTAAACGTCCTTGAAAATAAATTTATGCTGTAAATCGGTGAAAAAGATTTAAAAAAATAGCAGTTGTGTGTAAACAAAGATGGATTTATGTTCTGGACCATGTGATTGTTGATAACTGCACATCCAAATCAAAAGCTGCGATGGCTGTTATTCCTATTACCTTGTTTTGTTTTTAGTAGAAAAATTTGTGACAAGTCCACTGAAGAACTTTTTTCCTTTTTGTGTTGCAGCAGGATTCCATTAACAGCAGAAGGACCAAAATGGCAAATGACGTGTGTAGTCATGTAAAAGTCGTAGTTCGGGTTCGACCAACCAACGACAGCGAGAAGCGTGAAAACTGTCGTAATGTCGTCCAAGTTGTCGACAACCACATGCTTATTTTTGACCCCAAGGAGGAGGACATGTCATGTTTTGGGTCGCAAAGGGTTAGGAACAGAAACGTCAACAAGAGGGCGAACAAGGACCTGAAATTTGTTTTTGACCACGTCTTTGATGAGAATTCTACTCAACTGGACATTTTTGAGAACACCACTAAAGCAATACTGGATGGTGTAATGAATGGATTCAACTGCACAGGTAACTAATCTGGATACAAAATTATTGAATGTGTTAGGCTTCTTGTTTGATTCAGGTTCAGCAAAATCCCTATTAGTGTAAAATAGTGCAGCAACAGGAAGACTAAATTGATTCTAATGAAGTAACAGTAAAATTGGTTTGCAGTAAGAGGAAGCATGATTCAGACCTCACCTTTCCTGAATTTCTTTAATACTTTATAAGGTTCAGGTTCACTAAAAAGTCATGAACAGATTGTACCTGAACTACCTTCTAAATCCTGGGCTACAAGGTTTGCATTCTTTATGATTCTTTGGAATTGTTAGTTTGCATGTCCATTCCACGTAAGCCTGCGGTTCAGGGAAAATGCCAGAGAAAAAGTACACTGCAGGGAGCAAAGTGAGAGGGGAGTTCGTTCACTACAGCATCCAGTCACCATTCTCAGTTTGCTCCCTACAGACAATCGGTTCAATTTTTCCACCCCTCTGAAAAAAATGTTACAAAACTGTTTTTAAAGTCAGAATCAGTGACAAAACAAACTGAGCAAATCATATTTTTTGAAATTGTCATTGGGAACAACAAATGTCTTGCTAGATTTGTCTGTAGTTGTGTTGCTAACTCATTTTTATGAATCTGTGGTAAATATGGGTCCATGGAGGATTAAATTTAATGTTCACTACCTTGACTGAACTCTCTTTTCTTCTCAGTACAATGTATCTTTTAAGGTTACTTTTCTGAGCAGCTTTTGGATGTAGAACTCAGGCTATGTGTTAACAAGGTTCTTGCATAGTTTGAAATTATTATAGTTTTTCAATATCCGTTTTCTTTAAGTTGGATCCACTTGTTCAACCATCCATCTATGAACAATTCATACATTCAATTGTTCATAATACATCCTTTATTCTAGTATTTTTCATCCATGCATTCTGTCAACCATCCATCTTGCTGTTAGTCCATAAATCCCTTTCTTCTTTCATCCATCTATCTATCAATAACCCATCAATCTGTTCATTCATCCATAAATGTGCATCCATTCATCTTTCCATTCATGTGAATACCACAGATTCACCCTTATTTTCCATCCATTCATCTTTTTATTTACATACCTTTCTGTTTATCCATCTTCTTTATCCCCAGTTTTTTTTTTAGGGTTTTGTTTTTGTACCCAGACTTCAGTAGAAATATCTCCCAAAAATTATGAAATTAGCTGAAAACAAGTTAGATGTCTGAAAACTTGAATTTGGAAAAGTAGCAAAATTCTACATAAAAAAATTTGTTCAGGCAGCATTTTAAGGCCTGGTTGTCGGTTCTGAAGCCATTGTTTACAAATTTAAGTTGTTGCCATCTGTTATCTGTTTAACATGTTAAAAAAAGCAAAGGTTGTTGTAAACAGGAAAGAAACAGTAAACCATATACATATTTGATCGGTTGAGATTTATTTATCACAATCTAGCATTCTTGCGCTTTGTCTGCATTATTGTATGCAGACATACTGTATTAAAATAAATGCTGTTTCAAAAAGTATTCATTTAATGTTTATATCATTAAACACTTAAATTCCTGTCATTTGATTGAAGTTTGTAGACTGCATTTTGTGTATTTTCACAGTATATGTTCTTTTAAAATTAGTGTGTTTGTGTACCCTTTTCCTTTGTAATAAGTTTCCTTTTTTTGGCCACAGTATTTGCGTATGGTGCTACCGGAGCTGGAAAGACCCATACCATGCTGGGTTCACAAAATGACCCTGGAGTCATGTACCGCACAATGAAAGAACTGTTCAAACGGATGGATGATGCCAAGGAGGAGAAAGAATTTACTCTTGCATTTTCATATCTTGAGGTATTTTCTAAGTATGTATTTTGTGTAGAATGGATGATTTATTTTTAACCTGGTTACTTTGTGTCTAACAGCATTTCTTACATTACTCCTCCATATTTGTCTACTTTCATTTTCAATGAAAAACTATTGTGTTCAGACCTGCATTTCCTATTTTTGTCCTGAGGTGACTCTCGGTTGTTGAAGCTTGCCCTTGACACTTAACTATGTTTTTGTTGGTTCACAGGTTTACAATGAACAGATCAGAGACTTGTTGGCTAATGTCGGGCCTCTTGCTGTCAGAGAGGACAGCTCCAAAGGAGTAGTGGTTCAGGGCCTCACACTTCATAAGGTTTGTCAGATACAACATTGAGCCTTCTTGTTATTGTATTCCATTTTATTCACGTGGTATAATTCTGCTCCTATAGTTCTACTAAATAACGTAATGTCTCTATACATTTAACAATAAATAAACTGCTCTTTAAAGACTTTCTTCCGATATTAATTGTTTCTCACATTTAATCTAAAGTTGGTGTACCTTACTCATTTGCAGCACATTTTAGACGTTTCACCATTTTTCACCTGATCCATCACCCTCATGCTGAAAAATCTTCCTGTTGCTGTTTTACAGCCCAAGTCTGCAGAGCACATTCTTGAGGCCTTGGATTCTGGCAATCGAAACAGGACACAACACCCAACTGATATGAATGCCACTTCTTCTCGCTCT